CTTATAGCTCTTCCTTCCTCCGCCATCGTGGTGTGTGCGGGTCCACTCGGCTCTTCGCCATATCTCCTCACAAGTCTTTCAGAATCAAGTGGTTTCCTTTTTTTTTTGAGAGTTTTTTTGCTATAGGACGCATGCGCTCACCAGAAAGACAGACAGAAAGCGAGAAATCACCCCCCAGGGGGGATGGCCACGCCGCAATCTGTTCTCCTCCATTCTCCTCTCAGGATCTTGGGTAGGCACGCACACGTGCCCAGCATGAGTTTTAAGCCACCCGGTCCGGGATGAGAACTGCCGTCGACCAAATAGGAGTCCAGCAACATAGCCATTCCAGTAGCTGCTGGGCCCCCAGAATCAAGTGGTTTCTGGCCAAAAAACAGAAGCAAAATCTTCCTATTCCCCAGTGGATTAGAATGAAAACTGGTAATAAAGTCAGAAACAACTCCAAGAGGAGACACTGGAGAAGAACCAAGCTGGGTCTATGAGGACCTGGACAGGACATGGGCCACATGTTTATGCTGTACCAAGGTCACTATGGTCTTGCCACATCAAGCTGAAAATGGTCACCACTGACTGGACACTTGTGTTTACTGGGAAAAAATGATGCTTCACCTTGTCTCTAAGTTCTGCATCAGTAGGTTTGTTCAGTAATAAACATGTGAGACCTTTGAAAAAAAAAAAAGACTACTGCTTGTAAAACCCGGCAGTGGTAGCAGTGGTAACAGTGGTCGCCAGGTGCTGTTGAGCGCGGCGGACCGTGGCATCATGCTAGGCTCCATACACCAGCTTCATACCCCCTCAGCTTTGTTTCCTCATTTTACAAGCAAGGGGGCTGGATACACAAACGCTGAAATGGGCCTGCTCAGCCAGCCATTGGGATCCAGCTGCTTTAACCGCCATGCCCCTGACTGGCCCGGGCTTTGCTTCTGAAGGAACAATTTTAAGAAATTGCTAAACTGTTTTCCAAAGCAGCTGCATGCTTCGCATCCCACCAGACAAGTACAGGAGTTTCAGTTATTCCACATCCTCATGAGCACTTGGGGCGGTTAGTCTCAGTTTAGCCAATCCGATGGCTAGGCTGGGTGTCACGTTGTGGTTTTCGCTGGTCGGTTCCCCGTGATGCATGATGATGCACGAAGGGGAGCCTCTTTTACACCTTTGCCTCCCATTTGCATATCGTCTCTGATGAAGCATCTGTGTCTTTCGTGAAGTGTCTTTTGCCCATCTTTTAAAAATTGGTCTGTTTTCTTCCTGTTGGGGTTTGAAAGTCCCTTATGTTGTGGGACAAGCCTTTTATTAGACATTGGCACATCCCAGTCTATGGCTAGTCTTTTCATGTCTTTTGGAGAGTAGGTTTCTTTCCAGTTTTGGTCTCTTGGGCTCCCCCAAGCTCTGCCTTACTGGGTCGGTTCAGGGCAGGGGCACACTTTCTAACCCCTCCTTCTTTTCCACAATTGACCTGGGGTCTCAGTGCTGTCTCTGCCCTCCCTCAAAAGTGACCTTAGGCGGCTGTCCTCCTCCCTGTGGCCATGGTTGCCTTATCTGGAAAGTGGAGGTGGCCATCACCACCTTGGTGGTCATCCAGCTCCACACCCCTGCTGGATGCTACCCCTGCACACACACATCCTGTAGCTGCAAACAAGGGCAGGGAGGACCCAGGTCTGAGTGCGGCCTCAGCTCATCACCCTTCCTATCCCCACTCTCCCACTCAAGGTGGCTGCAACTTTTCTCAGTGGCCTTGGGGACAATAGGATGGGCAAGTGTCCTCATTCCCACCTACCCTTCCCACTCTCTTTGGCCTGGTTGCTCCTCCCAGAAGGTCATGGGGTCCTTAGTGGCTGGGTTTCAGCTCCTCTGTGCCCTGTAGGCCAGAACCCACTTCCTTGTTACCTTTTGGCAGGGAGCAGGAATCAAGGGACCCCTGTCTGGAGGCAGTCTCCCACAAAACCTCCCTTCCAGCTTTCCAGCCAGGTGCCGTTCCACGCTCAGCTCTGGTTTACAGATGGGAACACTGAGGCACCGAAAGGCCGGGCCACCTTCCAGCCCCACAGCTTCTGTGACTCAGTTAGGGTTTGTAACCAGGTCTCTGGGACCACAGAAGGAGGGATGAGGCCAGGGTTGCACCCTCCATCTGCTCCCCTCTGTCCTGGAACATTTTTCAAAGCAATCTCTGGACCACAATCTAAAAACAAACTATGTTTTCAAAGCAGCTGGAGGAAGCCAGTTACCACGGCAACTCTGTCTCACCGCCTCCTCCCCCCAGACCTCAGATGGCACCAGCTCAGGGGGAACCCAGTGGTAGCTAGGACTGGGGAGGGCAGCCAGGCTCTCTGAGGCCACCATCAGTCCACCTTCCTGCCTCCCCTACACTGTCCTCGGGGCCACCCTGCCCTCTGCCAGTGTGACAGGCACAAAAGAGTGGCGAGCCATCTGCTCCTGCAGAATTCTGGAAACCCAGAGCTCTGGCATCACCAGAGCCTTTTCCTGTGAGGGGCAGGCTCAGGGATCCCAGCTGCCAGGCCGTTTCCGACTCAGCCCACATGTGCCTCGATGGTCCTAACATACACTCAGCTGACTCCGTGGGGAGGAATAGCGGAACAGGGATTGCACTGGGGGAAGTAGAGCCCATCCCTCCCCAGACTAAAGTCAGAAAACTGAATTGAAATTTCCACAGAAGGGGCAGGGAACACAGCTTGCAAGAAGAGGGCCTGGGAGTCCATGGCCCCCAGCGATGGGCTGGGGCCCTTAGCAATCCTTTTGCAGGTGAGAGAGCTCAGCTATCGTCGGTGCCAGTGAGAACCACCAGCAGATCTTTCTCCAGCCCTCATTTACAGGGTCTGGGGCTGGTGAAGGTGAGGAGGAGGTTGGTGTCAGGAGGTGGAGGGACTGTATGGTCCCCACAGCTCCTCCTCCTACCCTCCCCTCACTGAGGCCCTAGGGCAAGCTGCCTAGGGATTCCCTGGGGTAGCTCACAACTTTCCTTGGGGACAGGTGGTGACACTGGGACCTGCACCCCCTACACACTCTGGAGCATGCTTCCTTTCTCCAACTGCTACCTGCGGGCCAGCCCTTGGAGCAGGAGCTGGCAACCAGGTGGTTTTCTTGGGCCTATGTTCATTTCTCTTTGCCCATCTGGCCTGTAGCCGTGTGTGTGCTAAGGAGTCCGTGTGTAGAGGCTCTCAATGCTGGCACAGTCAGACCTCTACTGCCAGTTCCACCTGCAGAGGAAGGCGGGGCCTGGGAGCTGGGATGGGCCCTGCTCAGGCACCTGGGCAGCAGAGCGCTACCAACCTAAGAGCAAGATCTACCTTGGCAAGGCTATCCCTGCCGGGGCAGACATGCTCAGTCACTGCCTCTGCTGCTCATGAGCTCAGTGCCTCCCGGCCTGGCTGCTTTGGTCTGTGTCTCCCTGCTTCTTCCTCTAGGAAGCCCTCAGGGACTGGCCCCAGTGAGTGTGGGGTGAAGGAGGAAGGCAGAGTTCATCTAGGGCCAAAGGAAGCTAGGCTCCGCATGTGGGACCCTTGAGCCCTGTATACTCATCCCTCCCTGAGTTGACGCCTCACATGCCCTCTTCCTGGGGTTTCTGCCCAGGGTTGGGTACCCAGCTAGGACCAAGTTTCAGTGATTGTTAATGTCCTCCCAGGTGCAGGATTAAAGCCTGAACCTCTGGCCTGTGCAGGGATGCAAGTCTGTCACTGTGGCTTGGGGCCTATGACTGACTGTCACATCTGGGGCAAGGAGAGACCACAGAAGGAATTGGGAGGGGGACCTAGCCTCTGGCTCCATCTGGCCCCCCATGGCTCCACTACGACCCACAGTCCAAGAGATACTAGGGGGGAGAGGGTAAGACAGGCAGGACTTGGGGCCACTGGGTATGGAGAGGGTCGCCCGTCTGCAGAGTGTCCTGAATGGTACTAGGTGCCTGGGCAGCAAAGGCCCAGTGGGGCAGTATGCAGTGAGAGGGCTGAGGCTGGCGTGCAAAAGGCTGCCCGCGGCACATGCTGACCCAGCCGGGTGGTCAGGATAGGCTAGGCTGGGCCCGGTCTGTGGCTTAATCTCAAGGGTAGACCCTGCCTGGCTAGGGATGGTCACGTATCCACCAGGAGGAGGAATCACTGAGGGTCTTAATCGAGAGCCCCTCACACATGGGTGCCAGGCTCCAAGCAGAGCCCCTTTTCTTTCCCAACTGCTGAACAGCAGCTTGAGCATGGCTTCCGGGCCACTCTTCCTCTAGCCTATCTTGAAGACCACAGCACCGCTTCCTTCCTCTCAAGGGTTTCCCTTCCCAGGACTGATGGAGGCAGGGATTTATTCTACAGGGCCCTGACCCCTGTAGCTTCCTGATGCCCCAAGGGCCCAGCAGCATCAAACCCTCAGCTCCTCTCCTGGCAGCAAAGACTTGGAGTTCCCACCCTGGGGAACCCCAGGATTCCCAGTGCCTGGAGGGGTAATCCCTAAACATACACAAGACAATGCAGGACTCCTGGGTGAGGCTGCCTCAAAGAGGAAGGCCTGGTATCCCTGGGGTACCCGGGTCCTGGTGTGGCTGCTGGCCAGATACAGGAAATAAAAACACAAGACATCCAGTTAACCTTGCACTTCAGATAAACAATGGAGTGTGTGTCTGTGTGTCTGTGTGTGTGTGTGTGTGTAGGTGTGTCCCATGCAAGACTCAGGACATACTAATACTAAAGAAATGCGCGTCCTCTAAGGTGCCCTTCACTGTGCATCCTGGCAGTCCTCAGTGGAGCTGCACTGCAGCAGCGCCAGTGGTGTGGCCGGTGGGCCCGATACTCAGGGCACCCTAGGGCATCTCGGAAACCAGGGCAGGAAGGCTGGCATCTGGGCCTTGCTCCCAGCATGTGGTTCCTGTGACCACTGACCCCACTGAGGTCCATCACTTCCTCTCCAGAGTTGAGGTGCCAGCTAAGGTGCAGTGAGGTGCAGTTCGGACTGCCTGCAATGCTCTAGGCTGCACGTGACACTGTTCCCACTCTTCCCAGCTGGCCGGAGGCGTGATCCTAGGTGTGGCCCTTTGGCTCCGGCATGATCCACAGACCACCAACCTCCTCTATTTGGAGCTGGGAGACCGACCTGCACCCAATACCTTCTACGTAGGTAAGTAGCACATGGGGAAGGGAATGGATAGGCAATCCAGGAGGGCTTCCAGGAGAAGGCAGAGCCTGAGTGGGTTGGATGGAATGAAGAAAAGCCATGGGGCATGGTGTGTGCTGGGCAGGGTACACTCAGCCAACACAGGGTAAAAGGGTTGAGACAGATATGGTCCGGTCGTTTGTCAGGTGTCCCCTGTTAGGTCAGGCGTGGGCCAGGGCGGGAGGGGAACAGCCAAGCGAGGACTGGGGAGTTGTGTCATGACCTTGCTTATTTTAACGTGGTATTTCAGGGGAGGCTCTCTGCAAAGGGGTGGGGCTGGATGCCTGGGCTGCACCAGAGCAGCTGAGGCAGCTAGGGCTGCGGACCTGGCGGAGGGCTGGAGATGGGGCTGGGAGGCGGAGTGACTCAGCCAACTCTGGGGCAGCCTTATTAGGCTGCGTGTGCCCGTCTCATCCCAAGAGCAGGGGGGCCTAAAGAGGGCTGCCTTGTGCAGAGCCATGCCCCTCCCCTCGATTCTCTCCTGACAGTGAAGGCAGGGGCTGGTCCTCAGCACTCTGGACGCACTTGTTGAGATATTTCTGTCCTTTAAAGGAGGAGCCCTGGGGTGACCCTGTTGCCCCCACAGACAGTAGTGGGTGGGGTGGGCAGCCAAGCAGGAATTCTATGAGTCTCCAAGGTCTAAGGCTCCCAACTTAGGCCAGCAGCCGCCCCCAGACCTGCAGGTTTTCCATCCTATGTGGAGCTCAGAAGGGGCCTAGGGCCTTCCACCAACTTGGGAGACACTGGGGCTTCTGAACCAGGGCCTCAGGAAGTCAGAAGCGGCCCTCCCTGCACACTTGCCATCCCACACAGGCACCAGCCAGAGTCCTGGTCATAGGAAGTAACATCCATTCCCTGGCCCCACCCACGTTCTTCTCCTGGCTTATGTTCCCAAGGGTAAGATGGATAGGCCTGGAATCCAGACAGCATCCACAGGGATAACCCTTGTCCACCCCAGAGACAGGAGTCTGGCTCTTGGTAGGTCCTCGGAGCTGTAGTGCCCTCCCAGGTTTGAGTGTCAGGAGGAGACCATGACTTGCTGCACACAGGCCAGGAACTTGTGCAAGAAAAGCTTCAGAAGCAAACGGTCATGCCCGCTTAAGTAGGATGTGAGTGTTGGGGCCTGGCCAGGGTCTTTTGGAGTTTTGAAGGTATATCTCTCCTCAGAGGCCCCTCCCTGACCTCTCACTCCCCTTCCTCCCCCAGATAACCAGTGATTTAGGGTCCATAGGGCCCTCCCAAGCCTGGGTCTTGCCTTCCAGTCCACCACCATCCAAGCCAATGACAACTGGGCGTGTCTCTGGCCTGGAGCCAGGTACTTTCCAGGACGTGTTCCTCTTTCTGCAGACTAGGAGGGGCCTGCTTCTGCCCAGTCTCCTCCAGGCCTGGGGCACCGTGGATGTGTGTTTCTGCCAGTGGTGGGGCCAAGCAGCCCTGCGGCAGCCAGTTTTAAAAAGGGCCGCACTCCTGGGACATGGCAGCCGAGCCTCCTGACTGGAGTAGCTCCTACTCGAGTAGCTTCTAGCCTGGTGGCTGGAGAAAAGCTGAAACTCAACTGGTTTCAGGCTGGGGCTGGGTTGGGGTGGGCTGGGCACAGAAGGCAGGTCAGGTGACGGCAGAGTCCAGCCTGGCAGCTCCTTCCGGGACAGGTCGAGCAGGCACAGGGAGGTCTGAAGCTGTTCCAGGCCTCCTTCCTGCTCCTGGGCCCTTGGCAGAACATGGGGCCCACAGGGCAGGTACAGGAAGCAGGTGTTTGACTAGCATGCTGTCCTCATGGGCCACACCAGGTCTCTGGCTCCAGGGCTGTCCACTTACCTGTTCTGGTTATGGCTTCCCAGGTGCTAGCAGGTTGGGGGTTCCAAGACAGAGCCTGCTGCCCCCTACACTTGGGCTCTGCCTGTGCCCCCCTGGGGTGAAGCCCACTCAGAGTTCCTGTGACCACCAAGCCCCTGCCTATCACACTCAGCCTTCCAGAGCCTCTCGCTGCCCCCAGTGCAGCTGGGCTCTGCCAGGAGCAGATGCAGACTCTGACAAAGGCTCTTTGTCTGGGCCTGGGAAGAGGGGCGGGTTGCTGGGCTTGTTCTGCACCCCCGGGAGACACCACAGAACAGGGCGGGTCAGGCCTGTGGGCTACAGATGAGCCTGGGCTCTGGGTCTAGGAGGGGCCATGCCAGCCCTGGGACTGAGGCCAGGCACCCGAGCCTAGCCCTGAGCCTGAGTCTCCTGCCCACAAAGGACCCATTACAGCTAAGAGAATTGATAAGCCCCCCTGCTTTGTGCCACCTCACTAAGCCTAACCTAGAGACATAAGAAAGGGGTCCATGTTCCCTTTCATCTCCTGA